TTCTGCAGGTTTTATCACTTTTTTTACAAAATTGAAAGAAAAAAAATATTTTTCATAAGGCACAATATATGAAATAAAAGGAAACATTTTGGAGTAACTAGGAGCTTTTCCTTGTTATTTCAAAGTAAACCAAAAATGAGTTTAAAATTCAGACAACATTAAAATTCTAACAGCACTAAGATTTTATATACACTACATACATGCAGACAATTTTGTCTTTGATAGAAGAAACAAAAAATTTGCTCAGTCTAATAAAGAGGTATTTTAAATCTGTTGCTTCAAAAATGTATCTGAATGCTTGATTAAATAAAAATCACATTTAAAACATTTACTAAAACTCAACTGAATGAAAATGTTATGTAGAATTTGTAGTCATATTTAAAATAAAAAAAAATTCAAAAATTTTTTGACATTGTTAAAAAAAATAATTCAAAAGTTTGTAAGACTTGAACATTTTCTATGAGCATAAAAGATTTCCCCATAAGTTAGGAATCTTCGAGTGTTTTCATGAAAGCTGGCAGCTATGCAGTTTAATTTTTTACTTACCTTAATTTTACTTATTTTTTACTTACTTTAATTTCTTAATTTTTTACTTACTACAATTTTTTTTTTACCTAGAGTTATTACGAAACATACAATGACTATTACCATACCTACATACATGGATATCAGAATAGGATTTCTGTTTTTTTCTCCACTCAGCCATTCTTTAGCTGTTAGTGATGGAAGAAAAAGGTAAAAATATTTTTTTTCATATAAGAAAAAAAAGGAAATACTGTCAAACCTCATTAATGCAAATCACTTAGGGTGAAATATCGCTTTGCATGAAATATATGTTAGGTCCCGGGAGTCAGCAATAAATTATTATTGTGTTTTACATAATATTTAACAGGAAAATTTCTTGCTGATTATCGCTTTACATGAAAGGTCACAACACAGATAAGAAGCATGTGCATAATGTGTGAATTATTCATTTTGAGGAATGCTATTTCTATTATCCACGTTTGTTAGGAGTAGCAGATGGGTAAATAAAGAAAATAGTTAAATAAAGTTATTAAAATTTTTAAGCTTATTCTAATTTGCTTGGTACACAAGCGTAGTATATGATATGTATTAACAGTACATAATAAATTGTGTTCATAATATATTTAGCTGATTATCGCTTTACATGAAAGGTCACAACACAGATAAGAAGCATGTGCATAATGTGTGAATTATTCATTTTGAGAAATGCTATTTCTATTATCCACGTTTGTTAGGAGTAGCAGATGGGTAAATAAAGAAAATAGTTAAATAAAGTTATTAAAATGTTTAAGCTTATTCTAAATTGCTTGGTACACAAGCGTAGTATATGATTATATTTTTAACCCAAATCATATTATGTACAAGTTAGAGAGATAAAAATAAAATATAAAGTAATAGATAGGAACATATCAATATATCAGCCCTTCCCAATTAACATCCTGGCAACTCAAAACTTCGTATAAACATCTGTAGAACTATTCCTTTCAGGTAGAAAGTGAAAGTTTTTCATTATATTCAAGAAAGTTTAATTTCCAGATAGTTAAGTTCTCAATAATAACTCAATAGTTATAAAGCAGACTATCCATAAAAGTTATTAGTTTTTCAAGCTTCTTATAATTTTGAAATTGATATACTTTTATATGAATTTTACAAGGATATTGTATCATAAATAAAAATAAATAATTTACTTAATATGACTTTTTAACAACTTACTTTTCTCGGCACAATCATATAAATTGTTTCACAGAGTGGTTTGACAGCATGCAGTTTGTAGAAACGAAATATTTCACATCGCAAAACATCCAGACCTCTTTCGGGCATGATTCAGAGGCCCCGCAGCGAGAAGCCTGTCAAAACTTGATATAAATAATGACACCAGGGTGGTTCGTTAACTATTTCGTAGTAACGTATGCTTCTGTCACCCTAAAATAATTAAAAAGAAAGACTTTGTTACGCAATTGAAAAACAATCAGTTTAAAAGTTATTTGTAACAAATTTATGCAAACAGATAAAATTTAATTTCATGCATAAAAATTATTAATGTATTGTTGCACTCATGCGAAATCAAATTTATACAACGCTATAATAAGCTTTCTTCTCATGTGTTTCATGTTATGTTTCTTCATATGTTATGAATATTCGTTTTAGATTTAATTTAAATTAATAGCTTTATAGTGCATTATTGTTATTACAGAAAACCAAACTTTATTTCTTTTTTAAAATAAATGTTAAATGCCTTTATTTTCCTCATTTTTTCCCTTCAAGAAATGAGCTATTTTTTAAATACTTAAAATAAAAATAATTTAAATACTGTGTCAATATTTGTGGCATTCAATATTCTTCTAATTTATTTATAAAATGTAATTTTCAGTAATCTAAAGTTAGCTTGTAAGAAATAAATAAAATAAAATAAAAAATTCAAAAAAATAGCAAATAAAATGTATGTTTTTTAACTAAGAAATTTTAAAATAAAAAGGGAATTATTAATAGGAAATTTGAGAAACTTTACAATAAAAAGGAAATTTTAGAATTTTTTTTCTTCAAATTCTTTAACAATTGTAGCAGGCTTTAAAATTTATCAAAATATTATGAACAAAACAGTAATTTAAGCACAGTTGCTAGAGAAAATAATTTTAACAAAATAATTTTACAAATCATAAATGAATTCATATTTCTAAAATATACTTAAAGACATAGTTAATTATATTATTTTAACTAAACACTTTTCAGAAATTAAATATTTTTAATTTATAATTGATAATTAATCAAGCTTTTTTAATGGTTCAATATACCGTATGACAAATATTAGGCACAGTCATTAAATGCAGCAACAGCTACTTCATAAAATTTATTTGATGAAACTTAAAAAGATTATCCACAGCTGTAAAGGCATTAAAAATTTTATGGCATATGGTCCATTTTTGGCCCATAACATATTATAGCTAAAATAAAGATTTTGATGGCATTTGCATTTTTGGATACTTATGCAATATTAGAGAAAGTCTTTTGATTAATGGAGCATATTATTAGTTTTTGAGAAGCAATTTTCTTTTTAGAGCAAATGTATATATATATATATATATTCTTTAATTTTAGGGTTCTTTTTTTTCTTTAAATTTTGAAAGTACAACTCTCACTTTACACCTTCCACAGAATTTAACTCCAGTAGACTATTCTAGTTATAAGTAACTTCAAAGAACTTAAGTTAATTTACAGCTGATACAAAAGTACAGTCTATTTAAATAAAAATCTGAACCCTCTAAATCTAGCCTTTTGTAGAAGTTGATTTATGAACTATGCTTGACAGTACACATGTATCAAAACAAGTTTATAATCCACAAAACATTTAAAAAAGACACATAACATCAATTTCTTTTTAACATAAATAATAAATCATTAAAAGTTTACAGGTTGTAGGCACAAAATATACTAAAATTAAATAACTTTTCATTGAAATAGCAATTAAAATATCTTCTATGTTATTTTAAAATGTTATTTATTAATAAGAAAAAAGTTGATTATTTTCTTTGTGCGTTTTTAACTTATTTATGTGAGGAAACAGTAATTACATTTTTCAAAGTAATAGCAATTTAAAACTGTAACTAAATTCTTGTTTTTTATGTTCTGTATTTTACTTACTTACATCATTTACTAGCATGATTCACTGTAAGTTAAATATTCAAACAAATGTAACACAATTAAAAAATGTCACTGTGTGCAGTGTTCACATTCCTCTCTAAAATGTATTTAAGAGAAATATAAAAAAAACTTTTTTTAAATTTTTCATCGAATAACAGTCTAAAAATCTATCAGTTATTTAAAATGTAACTAAAATTTACTGTAAACATAGAGAATAAGAACCTTAAGATAAATGTAAAACTTTACAGCTGTATAGGAAATTTTTTTTCCATCAAATATTGAAGTGTTGTCAATATAAAAAGAACATTCTTAGTGAAGAGAAAAATGAATAGCAAATCTAAAAACATTATTAGAGATCGATTCTGCAATGTTCTTATTTTAAGAATCTTGATAAAATTACTTATATAAAAAATTACAGTTCTATATTAACTAGTATATCACTTTTTAAAAAATATAAAATTTTTAAAAATACTGAAGAAAATTAAGCAAGTTGCTTGAGAAATATGGGCATATCTCATGCAGAAATAATTTATTTTGTACTCTTAATTATTTGAATCACAAAAATTATTAAGTTTTTATAATGAGAGTGGGATGTATATATTCAATTGTATAAAATCTTGTTTTATAATAGATATTTTTCAAACTTTTGATTTTACATGCTAAAATTTTGGCCATTTTTTTTATAATAATTTTGAATTTTAATATTTTACTTAATGTTAAATGGAAACTCATTAAAAATGTCTTTAAGTATTTTTAATACTTTTGCATTTTGTTTGATTTTATTTTTTATGATTTAAAATCGCTACAATAATTTGTAACCATCAGGGATACACTATTTTTTTTATTCATCTCAAAGAGTCATTGACCATAGGATTAAGTTACAGGATATTTTTTAAAGACTCGGTCATCAAATGAAATAAAGCTCCATTTTTGTGTGAATAATAAGCTATTTTTATAACTGCTGTGAGTTTGCAACAACTGTTGGGTCATCCTAGATGCCACTCTGATTTTTCCAGGTATATTAGATAAATTTCAATGGAAATTCATATCATATTTTATTAATACCAATACCATGCAATTTTTTATCAGAAAACTTTGATTTGCTTTATTCATTATGTCAAAAATTAGATTTTGTGAGCAAAACCATATAATTGAATGAGAATGGATACATAGAAAAGTTTCACTTAAAAGTAGAATTTTATAAAATAATTGTAATAAACATTAGAATTACTTAACTCGAATCTCAATAACTGATTACTGTTATTGAAAATTCTGAGAATGGTTATTTTCTAGGTATGATGTAGGGATTTTCCAGGTATTTTATAAAAAACTGTAACTTTCCCTGACTATTTCTTGTTTTTTAGAGTTAAAATAAAATTCTCTGAGAAATCCAAGTTTTCCCTGTCATCTATAACACATGAAAGCCTCGCTCATGTTTGACCTTTCTTTAGCCAATATTATTATCCATGCTAATTCTAAAAAAGCTAATTCTAAAAATGCTAATTCTAAAGCATCAATATGAAGAAAAGTCACTTTTGGGAAACTGGTTTTACATTTTAATACTTGAACAATTATTCCAATGCTACATTATCTGGGATAAGAATAAGTCTTCAATTTAAAAAATTTTCATTAAGAAAAATTTCTCTAAGTTGACAGTTTTAAAAAAGCTAAATAACTTTTAAAATATTTAAATTTTTTGCCCATTCTATAGTCAGGATAATTCACTAGGGCAAGATAGTGTTGTGATGCCACAATGGACATTACATATTTTCTAGCTTTAAAACTTGCTTTTTTACTCATTCTTAATCAAATTATAATTAAATTAAATCAATTAGTTAATTTTTATAAATAGCGAATATAAAATATTTTATTCTTTTCTCATTGATCAATGTAACGGCTAACTTTTTATTTCAATACTAATGCAGACTCATTCATTCACTGTTGCGCTTAATAGAATTTTTTATTATTATTTATAACTCTTTATTCTTAAAATTCTTACCACAAATATGTTTCAGTTACACAGTTATAGTAATTCTCACAGTCTTGCTGGCGATTTGTGACTGCCAAGGTATTTCTCAAACCTATTATTGATTATGGGGGACTGGCTTTATTTTCGACTATGTTATTTTTCGATAAATCACCAACCTCAGATCTCTTCTCATGATTCTAACTGTCTGTGGGGAGCAATTCAATTACTTTTTAATTTAGCTTTTCATTAAGTGGGTCATGGGAGATTTAACTCCTATGGCCTGTCCTTATTAATATTATTGTGCAAAATTTATTTAGCTTTCAAGTCTTATTGATAAAATATGATTTTTGTATCTTGAGCTCCACAAATACTACTAAATAAAAGTTTTATTATAATTTATGATTTAATTTTCATCTTCAACTTCATTTTTCATTATCCTGTTTTTCATCACTATCTTCAATTAGTCAATTATACGATACAACTTCCAACCACACCTGAATTTCGACTTCACAAATGCATATAATTGTAAATTCTCTTAGAGTGTAAGGCTGTGGTCAACTTTATAATCTTTTTCGTGAAAGAGCTTTAAAAAACACTCTTAATGTAACAAAATTAAATTCCTTGCCTTGGACTTACAAAAAAAAAGTATGTCAAGAGGCATTTTAACTGTTACACATGCTTCTATTTTATAAAGCATTACTTGATCAAATTCAAAATGAAAGAAAATAAAACAATTAAAATTTTCATTCATAAAATTTGCAAATGAAAAAAAAATTACAGATGAATAAAGTTAACAAGAGCAATGACTTTTAGATCCAAGAAGAATGCTTCAGTGCCAAATTACTAAAGAAAGTTACTTTATCATATACTTCCATGGAAAAAAAATTATATATATATATATATTTTTGTAAGAAAGATCATAAAAAATTTACATTGACCCACGAAAAAAGAGATTATAAAATGCAAAGTAAGGGGGGGGGACCTAGCAGGAATACCTAGCAGATTGGGTAAAAACTTCACTGAGGAAATTAATTTTTAATGGTTCGCTCTGTGCATCTTGGTCAACAACAACAATACCGAGCAAATACTTTAAAATTTTTTAAGCAAAATGTATCAGTAAAAGATGAATGTGTAAAAAACATGCACATTTCAACATTAAACTTTTTGACAAATTTATAAAATTAGGTTTTCTAATAAATGTAATCTTTTAAGAACATTTGTAGTTCCCCAAATATATATATCTTGCCTTGATAAGAAATGAAAAACTGTTCCTGCAGTAAAAATTTAGGAATGAAAAATCACACATTAGAATATGTACGCTAGCTGAATAACCACTTTCATACAAGGCGAATGAAAAGAAAATATTCAATGAATTAATGCTGAATAAATTCGATATTTTTTGGAAATAAAAAAACTTTTTTTATTCTTTATTGTTTTATGACACAGTTTCAATCAATTTTAACATTAAAGATTTTAACAAAGTTGCCTTATGTATAGTGGACAAAATAAAAAAGAAACACCCTGAATGACTTTTGATTTAACGTGATCGGATTTTCACCTTCTAGGAATCAATCTTAATGGCTCGAGGGGGTGACCTCAAATATGCTGATTAATTAATGTAGACAATATTTTAAATCACATACATAAACATACTTTCTCTGAATAACTGTCATGAGTATATCTCTGAATAACTACTTTTTGACTATCATGAGTCATTTCCCGCACAAAAATTTTAAAAAGAACATACTTGAAACATTTTTGCTTAATAAAAATGAGTGATTTGAGTAAAATCAGCAGCTTATGACATAGATGGTATATACCAGATGGAGACAAAGATATAAAAAATTATAAAATTATTTTTTACTTAAGTAATAGTAACAATATCATTAAAAATCTTATTCATTTAGAATTGAGGGTGCTGAACCCAGCTCATTTTTAAAAAAATCGCAAAGTCTAAAATTTTATAAAAGCAAATTTTGGTCTTAGTTTATTCATAATTGAAAGAGGTTATTGCTCTGCATCACCTTGAAAGTAATATTCACTCCTTCATGATTAGCATTTTTTCACTTTTGTAAAAAAGCCGAACATTGAAACAGCAACTGTTAAATTTGTAAGAATTTATTTATTTATTTTTTAAAAATAAATAATTATAAATTACTGCTACTGACTGAACTTTATGCGTAAATAAAGCTCTTTATCACAATGTTCAAAGGTTTCATGTTCATTGAAACAAGAAATTTTAAATTTATTAAATAAGTCTCATAATGTTCATTTTGAACGAAAAGTAATAAAGACAATATTAATAAATTTACTGGCATTTTGTACAAGTATAATCAGGTAATCAAATCAAATAAACAACGAATGAAAATGCTTTTTTAAGACTTTAAAAAATATAAATAATTAATCAATGAGGTGAATTTTACATTTATTTATAGGTCTTTGAAGTTCCTTCTTAATTCTGAGAAAATATAAACTGTCAGTCAAGTTTTTTGGTTATACAAATTAACAAAATTATTAGTTAAGACTTTTCTGTATTAGTAACTTTTAGTAAACAGATAATTAACTTACTTATACAGCAAAAAAATAAATAAATAGAAAAAAACAAAAAATAATAAAAAAAAAACCTATAACTAAATGTTTCGGGTTTTAGTAGTTCAGGGCGAAGCATTTTCAGGGTTCATACAGAGATCAGAAGAAGAAATCCAAGGAGTCCAAAATTTTAAGGACTTATCAAAAATTTAAAAACTTTGTGTAAAAGATAAGTTTTTTTTAAAAATTAAAAAGCAGTTATTATAANAATTCTTAATACTAGTAATAATAAAAAAGTTAATATTATTTATCGAATTTATTGAATGCAGAGCATAAATGAACCTGACTATTTTACTATTATATATAATCGCTAAGATTGATTTTAACTTTAAAAAAAAAACTTCAATTTTAAATTAACAAAAATATTAGTTAAGGTCATTCTGTCAAAGTAGTTTTAGCAAACAAACAATTTACCAGCATTGCAAAAAACTATACCAGGTAATTTCGTGTTTAGGGTTGTGGCGGCCCGAGCGAAACATCAGAGAATTTCAGCAGGGTTCATCAAAATCATATTTGTTAAAAAGATATATATTAAATATTCAAAACTTTCTTTCAATCAGATTTTTTTTAAAAAGTTCTTTTCACATTTAAAGACCTAAACTTTAAAACATATAAATAATATATAATATTTCTTAACAATACTACAATTAAAATTCTTAATACCACTAAAAATATGTAAGATGATTTATTTACTGCAAACTATTTTTTAAACAAATTAAATCAACTATTTTTTGTTGGGTCATTCCATGTCAGTTCATCCAGCCATGGCACCCACCGTCTCAATTGATGAAAATTTCTACACTTATAGAATTTTTGGTGCTGATTTCAAAAATATCAATTATATTTAAATCGCTTATGGGGTTTAAAAGTTATAAGCATTTATATTTTTGCCAAAATGGCACATTTGCCGCCATCTTGATTCATATATCAAAGGCTATTAATGATTGTAACTCACCTTATATTTGTCATAGAGCAATAATTTTTTTTTTTATTTTGTTCAGAATAAAGTAATCTGTCATTTAAACACTTTTTTTGCAAAGAAGTATCTTACTTATTTAGTAAATGGGTCTGTTTTACAGTTTTTTGATCAACGGAGTTGAGTAACTTCAGGCGATAATTTCTGGCAACTCGCCCCCTTCAATTTCAAAAATATTTTATTCAAAGATAGTTGAAAGTGCAACCTAACATCTGAAATAAAAATTTTGATGGGTGGTTCACTCACTTTTTTAAAAAAAATATTTTTCGTATGAATTGTTATGCATTAAAAGTACTGGTAGTTTGATGATTTATAGTCCTTAATTGTAACTGTTGAAGGGTAGAAAAATATGTAAAATAAAGTAATCATTTATTAATTTTTTTTCCTTTCTTTCTTTGAGCCCCCCCCCCTTAAAAAAGAAGAGAAGAACGGGAAAAATTTGAGAATGAACAAGACAAACACAATTTCTGACCAGGGATTGTTGAAATTTGCAATTTAGCTCTGCATGTTTTAGCCTGATCTACACTTATGACATGAAGGGAGACTTTCTTGGTCTTATTGGAAGGAGAATTAAATAAGTCATAATTTAATTTTTTATATATATATAGTATTTCAATCTGATACAAGAGATACTCCTTATGTATGAGGCATATAATTGAACTTCCCTTAAAATCTAAATTGCTCCTTAATGAAATAAGTTCTATATTCTCAGAAGAAAGTTCTAAAATCTTCTGTGAGTTAAAACTGCATTTAAAATCTTTAAAAATTAATCCAATACTACATAACACTTGGGTTTTCAAAGTAAAATTTTTTAAATATCAAAGTGATACATTTAAAACTTTTTAAAACTTATTTATTTCTATTCTGTTCTAAATGAATGGAAATACAATTTTATTGATTTGAAAGAGGATGAATTTTACATGACACTCAATTCTGATTGAAACAAACAGAAATGTTCTGGCAGATGATACATTTTGATCAGTCAAATTTCTTTTTTGGGAAGGTAGGGATGAAATGTGCGGTTTTTCCACTCAATTTTTTTAAATACATTCAAGGACTTTTCAATGACATCCAAGGACCTAAAATTGAATTTTTCAAGGACCTATTCAGTATTATTGTTATATGCTAAAGTACATATCAACCAGATTTTACAATTACGTAGAAGCAGAAATTGTATATTTTTAAATCACAATGCTTATTTGACAACTACAAAAAAATCATTTATTAAATTTATCCGCTAATAATACAAATGTTTGATAATTACATTGCCGTTCCAAATCCCTTAGAAAATTCCATTTGACAAAGATAAAAACTCCAACTAACATAGGATACTAGCCAACATTTAAAAACTAGCATCAGTGAAACTTTTCATGAAAAATTTAATAATGAAGTGAATTAGAATTAATGAAACTGAATGAATGTATAAGGCATATTACATTAAACAAGCATAGTAAATAATTGATAAAGCTTGTGTAATTGCACGGTTATTAAAATATAAAACAGCTTACATATTATGCAACTTTTTATGGCTTATTAAGATAATATTTCTTCATAATACAATTATTATTTTTTTTTTTTTGATATTTGGTTTTTACAACATCTTTTTTAGTAATCTTTGCAGTTCTATGATCATTTTAAGTACTCAAGGAGCTTTTCTTTTGTGTTCTTTCAAATGCACAAATTTTTCAAAATGATTATTATCATCATCATTACTTTTTCCCATATCTTGTACCACTGTCAAGATAGAAACACAAATCTCCAGTTGGCATTTTAAGTAATATAATCATGTAGTACATAGCTATTTTACAATACATAGACAATCTAACAGCTGCAGACACCTTTAGCTGCAGCTGTTTGAAAACAAAAGTTAAAAGAGTGCACAGGCNCAGTTGGCATTTTAAGTAATATAATCATGTAGTACATAGCTATTTTACAATACATAGACAATCTAACAGCTGCTGACACCTTTAGCTGCAGCTGTTTGAAAACAAAAGTTAAAAGAGTGCACAGGCACTTGAACTTTTACAGTATAAACACATGTATTTATACTGTATTAAGTCATTGCTTTTAATAGAAACTCCCCTGATTTTGATATACTTTAATTAAAAAAATAAACATATGTAAGATACATGAAAAAATAAAAATAACCTATCATTTAAATGGTTTTATAATATCTGACATAAATCATTATGTAATAAAAAATATNTACCTGGCATAAATCATTATGTAATAAAAACCATCTACATAAGTTAGTGTTTGAATATGGATATTTAAGTTTAGAAGTCTAACAAAAAGTTTTTCTAATAAAAATGAAGGGTTAGTCAATGTTCAAAGAAACTTTAAGAGAGAAAAAAAAAGAAGAAAACTCTGCTCACAAACTCTCATTATTGCACCACATTCTTTTCTTTTAAAGGTTGATCTTTTCGCATAATAAGCTTATTTCACGAGTAAAATACACAGTTATTATAATTTTATATTGGAACATTTTCTTAATATTTTATTGATAATGATATGAACGATTATCCTGACTTGAAAATAATACTCTACACTCGAGAAAAAATAAATTTAAACAAAGGAAAACAGAATATGTGATACAATAGAGACTTTGTAGTGGGTCAAGGACAAATTTAAGAAAAAATAAGGAGATTTTCTGGGACTGCAGACATATGCCAGACAAATTTTAAAAGAGACATACAGTAAATTAAAAAACATATTATTTGCTCTACCAGGGTGCCCACTCAAATCAGATTTCAAAATTCCCTGATGTTTGCAGGTTTTCCAGATAAAAATCTTAAAATTTCCAGATTTTAGTTTCTTTATTCTAATAAAGTGTAGACAAGAAAAGTGTCTATATTATAAAATATTTTATTCAAAATGTTATTCTTTTAAACATATCTTGAAAAAAATAATTTATTTTGACAGTTTGGCAAGATTTTTTATTCATTTTTTAATGTTTTGGTACAAAATTTTGAATAAAAAATCATATATTGACCAACAAAAGAGTAAAATTAAATATTAGTATATAGTTAGTTATTGGTTGATTTGCTGAGAAAAAAATAATTCACAGATTTCTTTTAATGGGAATACAAAAGCTTTCAGAAAAAGAGTGCAATATAAAATCTATTACTGTTATTAAATTATAAACAACTAATTTTTGGAGAATTTCATAAAGTTAAAAATACAAAAATATTTCGTAAAAATGGAAAAAAATTACCACGAAATCATTGGAACAAACTTGAGCCATAAATGGATTCAGCCAAAAGACAGAATTTAAAAACAGAAGCTAATATCCAGATCCCTTCTTTCACCTCCACCACAATCTTTCCTAAATTGCACAGTCCCATTGCTGTCAAAGGTTTCCACATTCATTTAGCAACAGTGGGAGAATTTCATGTGGCATTCTAGTTTAACAGAGCTGTAATGGAGCAAATTTTGATGCAAGCAAAATATTGCTAAGTTGGTGATATTTCAACTGCTTGGAGATACAATTCCGTCTAAAAAAAGTGGGTATAATGGTTTAAAAACAGAAGCTAATATCCTAATCCCCTCTTCCACCTCCAACACAATCTTTCCTAAATTGCACAGTCCATAGTGGTCAAAGGTTTCCACATTCATTTAGCAACAGTGCGAGAATTTCATGTGGCATTCTAGTCTAACAGAGCTGTAATGGAGCAAATTTTGATGCAAGCAAAGTATTGCTAGGTTGGTGATATTTCAACTGCTTGGAGATACATTTCCGTCTAAAAAAAGTGGGTATAACGGATGAAATAATTTAAATTAAGAAAATTAGTAAATAATTTAAATTAGTGAAATTCAAAAAAATTTCCAGCCTTTCCTTAAAATTCCCTGATTTTCCCAGTATAAAAAAAATTTCTTCCTAATTCCAGGTTTTCAAGGTTTTCCAGGTGGGAGGCAACCCTGTCTACTTAAATATATTAAAGGTTTTCAAAAAAGAATAATAAAATATAATATTTTTATTTTCCAAATTAACTTAAGAACAGAAAGTACACAGCAGTAGCTTTTATATTTCAATACAATTTATTAATGGAACATAGGATAATTTTTAAACGTTTGAGATCAAATATAAACAACTGTATTATGAAAATATTAGAATAATCCAAGTCATTATCAGATAAAAATAAAACATTTAATTTTTAAGCATTATATGATGCATATATGCAAACAATATTTTCGAGAGGAACTTATTTTAAATCATACAAATTCACTATCTCAAAATTTGCTCATTTTTTAATAAAATGATTTATTGTTAAATATCAAAATATTAGAATATTCTATTTCTCATAAAATTTATTCATGGTCAAAATTATAGTAAATAGAAGTAATTATTTTAATGGTAGTTAATAGAAGTAATTATTTTAGTACAAAAGTTAAAAGAAGTAATTATTAAGTAAAAGAAGTAAGTATAGTGGCTGAAATCTGAGCAGAATATTGGGGGGAGGGGGTAACTTAAAGGGTATAGTTAAAAAAATTGATTCAACATTTTCATAAATTTAAGATTCAATCTTGTGTTTTTCCAAAGCAAATTATATACGACTATTAAACAAAAGCTTTCAAGAATGTTATGATGCAAATTTTAATTGAATAAATGGCTTTCTTGAATTAAATTTTTTTTTTATATGTATGAAATACATTTTGTAGGATGGATAATAAGGAAAGAAAGTTATTTTGATATTTGACGCATTACTTAGTTACTATATTAAATTTAACTAATTTTATTTGTAATTAAGGCATTTCAATTCTTTTTCTTGTANAGAAGTAATTATTTTAATGGTAGTTAATAGAAGTAATTATTTTAATACAAAGGTAAAAAGAAGTAATTATTAAGTAAAAGAAGTAAGTATAGTGGCTGAAACCTGAGCAGAATATTGGGGGGAGGGGGTTAACCTAAAGGGTATAGTTAAAAAAATTGATTCAACATTTTCATAAATTTAAGTTTCAATCTCGTGTTTTTCCAAAGGAAATTATATACGACTATTAAACAAAAGCTTTCAAAAATGTGATGATGCAAATTTTATGTGTGAAAAAAACGTGTGTCCAAAGACTTTTTTATTTTTTAAAAAAAAGAAGGAAAGATAATAGATGTTTGTTTATTTTGATTGTTAAAAGTGTCCCGGAAATCGACCCTTCCAGAAAAGGGACGTCTGGATATGGGACGTTACACTGTACTTAAAAAATAAAACAGCCAAAATCTAAACATGTTTAAATTAGACAATATATATATATATCCTTAAATTAAAAACAATTCTTGAATTTGCAAAAAACTATAAGAGGGTTCAAGAATATATTTTTAAGAAAAGTGAAAAATTACAGAGTTCGTAAGCAGTTTTTTAGACCATTTTATAAAATACAGAAGAAAATTAATCAAGTTACTTGAAATATGGGCATATCTCATGCAGAAATAATTTATTTTGTACTTTAATTATTTGAATCACTAAAATTATTAATTCAGTTTTTATAATGAGAGTNCAGAGTTCGCAAGCAGTTTTTTAGACCATTTTATAAAATACGGAAGAAAATTAATCAAGTTACTTGAGAAATATGGGCATATCTCATGCAGAAATAATTTATTTTGTACTTTAATTATTTGAATCACTAAAATTATTAATTCAGTTTTTATAATGAGAGTAGATTGTATATCTTCAATTGTATAAAATCTTGCTTTATAACAGATATTTTTCAAACTTTTGAGTGAATTCCATATAATCAAGTTCCAGAAACAAAGGTTTCTTTTAAATATGGAATTATAAATACAGTAAAAGCTTTAGAGTATGGCATATAAAGACAAATCTGCTATTACGACAATTTTTAAGTCATCGTCAAAATTGTGATATTAAAAGTACAAGAATTATATATTTACAAGGAGTTAAAAATGTCTAGCATTCAATTATTGTGAAAAAAGTTTTTGAACAAAAAAAAAGTTAAAAATGAATATCAATTCACTTTATTTAATTCCTATAGCCTTAACCTTTATGTTTATAAAATAAACATATGTAAGAAATTACAAGCCAAAATTATCTTCCACTTTAAGAAAGAAAAAGTCTTCTAATGCACATTTATATATACATAAAATATCAATGACAAGCTTTGTTTATATAAATGTGCGTAACAGTTAAGGTTAGCATAAGAAGGAGGAAAAAAAATAGCCTAACACTGGGGAGCTATATTCTCTTGTGTGTAATGTGTTCATTCATTTGATCATTTCTCATCAAATTTATTTGTAGAGAAAAACACAGAATTTATGAATTTAGTTATTTATCACAGAAGTTCAAGTTTATGACCAATTCTTTTTATTAAATAAAACTCTAAAAATAATAAAATTTAAACAATGTAATGAAATTAATTTTAGGTAATAAGCTAAATGAATTTTCTTTCATAAATCAGTATCAATTCCAAAAATATTTTAGCATAATATTATATTCGTAGCCCTATACAATTTTTCTCAAAATAATAGTATTTTCTTC